ACGAACAAAAGCTTTTAGTGATGCACCACTGGGCATAAGATAATCTATCATTATATAGATACTATAGATACATGTTCGTATGTATGTAGCTATTGTGAACGTAACCACAACATAACATCACGACTTACTGTTTAACCCGTCGTGTGTCCAGACGTGGATCGACGAGAGACAATGTATTTTCTATTGTCTCATATCGGTGCATGCAAGCGGTTAAAGGAACAGGCGACGAGTTTGATTTGGAGTACCCAAAATTAACTCTTCACTAGTTATGATAGTAAGATGGCAGGAAATCTAACCCACGCCACGTCTTTAAGTCCCCAAAAGGAGTAGTTCCCACTTTTTACCAGTTACGTATATTATAAGTCCCATGCTCCCATTGCCAGCGTGAGCATACTACCATTCACAAGAAGGACTAATGCACTCAAGATTGCTGGCCGCTTCCAATCGGCTCATTAGGACGTCAGTGGGAGAGCCTTATGTATTTACAGCAAAGAAATCGATAATTGGATTTCTGAATATTTTTGAAAGATTTTTTTTCAAATTCTAATCGTTTATTGCGAATATAGGTCAAGTGTAGATCTTAGAGTAGGTAGTTATTATAAAATAATTTGATCAGGTACATAAAAATATAAATAAAAAAAAAATTTAGATATTTATCAGCATAAATAAAATAAAATGAAGCCAATGAAAGATACATGATGGATGACCCATGCTTCGGCACGAATGGGCCGGCTCGACCGGAGTGATACCACGGCCTCACAGAAAACCGACGTGAAACAACGTTGTGTTGAGTTACCCAATTACACCCCTCCCCAATCTCCCCAATCCCCGAATCCCCAATAATCCTCAAATTATTAATCCCCAAAAGGCCGATAACGCACTTGTAATACCTCTGGTTTTCCAGGTGTCCATGAACGTCGCCAATAGCTTACTATAGCAAGAGATCTGCAGAATCCATAAAAAAATTTCTTGTGGAAATACAGTACTTCTCTTTCTCGCTCAATCCGTGACTAGGAATCAAGACAACGTTGATATTACCATTATATTTCCTGATCACCAGTGTAATCCAATTTCCAGACAACTTACACAGCAACTCCTGCGCAACACGTGCGATTTAATCTTCGAATCATGAACGAGGAAGGTGTTGCCAGAGTTCGTGATCGCATTGTTAACATTTATTCCTGGTAACACTCGACTTTCATGAGTTGGTAACTCGAATGCATTGATTTTCATTCATTCATTTATTTGTATTTGGATGAGTGGTGCATTGGTTACTTTTTTAAATGGAAGAGTTGAACAACTTGGTAAAGAGTTGCTGAAAACGATTTATTTAAAAACATTGCTTACGATATGAGACTTCATTTCTTTTTTTTTTAAAAAAGACGTGTCCCCACTTAGCCTTCTGTGTCGTGTGTGCGTTTACAAACATACACATGACACACAGACCCGAACCGAAAATTCGTGAATAATAAAAAGAGTTACTTTACTCCGTGGGAAAATCTAACCCACGCCACGTCTTTAAGTCCCCAAAAGGGGTGGTTCCCACTTTTTACCAGTTACAGTCCCATGCTCCCATTGGCAGTGTGAGCATATACCATTCAATGTATACAATTCCAGACTCCGGGTTATTACAGAGAATTTTCAACAATCAGAAAAAGCTCAATCGATCAACAAGGGAGTTAACTAAACTGAAGGAAATAGGACATAACATAACATCATGTTTTTTATCCACGTCGGGGTAGGCAGAGGTGCACATTATGGCACATGCAGTACAATGTAACACCCACTTTTCACCATTTAAGTTAGGGGTCCCATGTAATTGGGGGTGAGCCTATTGCCATATACCGGACACAATTCCAGACTCCGTGCTACTACTGAGATTTTTTTTTTGTTTTAAAACCCAATTATATTGCCCGACCCGGGAATCGAACCCGAGACTCCATGCTCGGCAGTGGCACTTGCGACCACTCGGCCGACAGGGCAGTAAAGAAATAGGCAAGATTCAAAAAACACAAATTAAAATAACTTACCAGTACAAATATTGTGGAAAACACACTTCAGCATTTAGTTATGTTGGAACAGCGACATCTATGTGCTAAATTTTGTAACTAAATACATACATATTTGACTTGTCAACGGGCTATACCTACTGCTGTAAGAAGGTAATATCTGTTGCCCGCGACTTCGACCGCGTTGAATATGAATTTCAGAACGTAAGTACCTTCTTTTCAAATTCTCCAAAATAAAATTAGCCTATTTTGGCTCCTTAGTACATCAGCTAAGAATTGCAAAATCGGTCCAGCCATTCCAGGGATTAGCCAATACAAACAGACAGACAGACGGACAAAAATTGAAAATAAATGTTATTTAGGTATGTGTATCGTATGTATATTCGTATGCATGTAGTATAAAGCGGTTATTTAAATATTACAAACAGGCACTACAATTTTATTTATCTGTCTTTATAACCGTGCAACAATTATAATATTAATATAACTTTATACTTTTTATTCCCAAATGTTTAGTTACAAGTTAAAAATAATTTGCCTGACCTCAGTCCTTTAGGTTTTAGAAAGAAACCTGATTGAAAAAGAGTAACCTATGGAGTTTCTTGCTCGTTCTTCTTCATAGGAATCTACATCTTGGAATGAGCAAATAGATTCACTTTTATTTTTTTTTGTTGACGAGTAAAGTGTCTTACTGGTCTAATTGAAGTCAATGATTTTGACTTTGACTTTGATATTCTTGATTTAGGTATAAACTACGCTAATTATGTACACCTCGAGTCAAAATGAAAAACCAACAACTTTAGAAAAACATGATTTATTCTAAAGTAAATACTTAATCGAAACTCAACAATAAATAGTTAACTCTCCAGCCGTATTTACACTCACACAAAGCTAAATAAACACATTTTGTACACAATATAATTTGGTAAACGTTAAAAATGCATGAGTAGGATAGTTACTTATAGTATTTTTTATAGCATAAACCGGTAAACGAGCAGACGGATCACCTGATGGCAAGCAATCGACACCGCCCATAGACACCCTAAACACCAAGGCGTTACAAGTGCGTTATCGGCCTTTTGGGAATTGGGAATTTGGGTATTATGGAGGATTCGGGGATTCGGGAGACTAGGGCGGTGACTCCTTGACTTGGACCTCCGGTAACCTCACTCACACGACGAAACACAACGCAAGCGTTGCTTCACGTCGGTTTTCTGCTCGGCCGTGGTATCACTACGGTCGACCCGCCCCATTGGTGCCGAAGCATGAATCTCCCACACTTAATTGTCTACATGACATTATGTAGTATAGAGAAAAATAATTTATTGCTGCATTTATGAGTTATAGAAAGTCCTCCAAGCCAAATTCAAATAGATTGAGATCTGAGTCTGATTGCGAGATCAAATTTTGTTTTCCTTGTGACACTGTGACATTCATAGTTCCGGGCAAGTATTAAATAATAAAAATAATTATCATCATCATCATATTGATTATGTATATCTAAATAAGGTTTATAAATTATTGAATAGTCTCGCCCGTTGAAATTCATACAAAAGTAGTCTCTAAACTTTGGAAATAAGGTCTATAATGTAGTTAGTGGAGAGCGGTAACTGGTGACTGCTTGGGGATATATGGGTTAAGATATTTAGTCCAAATAGATAACTACGCGCGGAACGCTCGGCGCCGTACGCTCGGGTCTGGTTCTGGTCGGGAGGCGAGCTATCTATACTCGCCGTCCGCAGGCCCGCGCTTACGGTGGCCGGAGATCGTCCCGCGATACCTGTCGCCTGGAGTGTCTTTCGCGACGTCTGGGGCGCTACTTGTGAGCTTGCCACATTGACGACGTGGGCTACCTATTACCATGCGATTTTAGTCCACAGTCCACAGCAGTTGTCAAAAAAAAATAGCATGACACTAGTTAATTCCGTATACGAACTTCTGACGAAGAACGAGACTTTGACACTACCGCTATCTATGGGCATAGATAGGCCCGATTAAACGACAGGTCTAACAAAAATATATTTATTTGGGTTTCACATTTTACTGTATAAAAATTTACTTGACAAAATGAGACATCGGTACCTAGTGTCGTTTTCATTGCGTTTAAATGGTTATAAATAACGACAATATAATAATCGAATAAAGACCATAGTATAATATGTACTTCATAACCAACATTAATAGGGTACCTTCCTTAATCAAAAATAAATGACTTCGACTGTTCAATACAATAAAATATTACAAAATAATCCCACTTTCATTAATTGATTTTATGACCCACTTCATTTTAGTATTTTTCCAGCAATTTTCAAGAAATAAGTATGTTGTTTGATGCTAAAAAACGTGACGTCACAATTCACAATGTCGTAAAAAATTCATAGAAAATTATTGTTTTTGACAGTTCCAAAAAAGTATTAAATTTGACTAGTTGGCAAGTACCGTATTTCACAAAAACATACATAATAATAATATAACTACATATCAGCATACATCATCGCATAAATTGTCGTGGTGGCCCGGGGGTTTAGGGTGCTCGCCTCTCATGCATGAGGGTGCGGTTTCGAAACCTATTAACGGCAAGTACCAATGTGACATTTCCCTAGTTATATGTACTTTCTAAGATGACAAGCGGACCCAACAGACGTTGTCCTGCATATCCACTTTAATGTATAAACAATAATTCATTCAAATTAGTTCAGCTGTTTAGGATAAATAACCTAAACATCGACTGCAGCGCCATCTGCTGGGCTGATTAGTTAATCTAAACCATTCCCAGATCCCTTTGAACACACACAAAAAATTTCATCAAAATCGGTCCAGTCGTTTGGGAGATGTTCAGTGACATACACACTCACAGAAGAATTTTATATATATAGATTTACACACCACTGACAAACGGTGAAGGAAAACATCGTGAGGAAACCTGGACTTATAATTTCTAATTATAAGTTTGTAATCGCCAACCCGCATTGAGCAAGCGTGGTGATTAATACTCAAACCTTCGTGTGAGAAGAAGTTTTGCTCAGCAGTGGGCGTTTATAGGCTGTTGATGATCTAAGACATCATCTATCTATCACTACCGCCATTACATTGAGTAAAACTATTCATATTGATATACCTTCTAGTAGTTCTCATTCGAGCGGCCGCCACGCTGTCAAACACCCATTTAGAATTCACTTCACCAACACCACCGCCAATAACTACATCGTAATTCCTATTACTTAATCCACGGTTATTGGCATTCTGAGACTGCATATTGGCATTCTGAGATTGCATATTGGCAATTTGAGCCTCGATATTGGCATTCTGAGACTCAATATTGGCATTGTGAGACTGGATATTTAAAACACTGCCTTGTGTATGTAAGTTATTAAGTCTAGTTTCCTTCGTTTGATTGTCAGGGTTATTGTCTATGGGACTATTGTCGACTGCAGCGCCACATAGGGTGAGAAGTTTCAAAGCAGCCTCTCTTTGTTCAGCGTCGGGTTTTAGATGTACTTTCATACCGTAGAAGACGTCGTATGCGTATTCTGAGCGTAGTTTCCCGAGCGCTGTGCGTTCTACTCGAGCTTTCTGTAAAGAAATAAGTTGGTTTAAGTTAGACTGGGATAAAAGATGGTTTTTCTTTCTTTTCTTTTTTTATAAGGGACTAGCTACTTCCGCGCGGTTTCACACGCTCTGCTCAGCTCCTATTGGTCATAGCGTGATGTTTTATAGCCTATAACCATCCTCGATAAATGCGCTATGCAACACAAAAAGAATTATTCAAATCAGACTTGTAGTTATGGAGATTAGCGCGTTCAAACAAACGAAAAAACTCTTCCGCTTTATATAATCTTATTATACTATTCTATCGGTCGTGTAATCTATTTCGTTTTCGTCCCGCGGCAAAACAATTTGCCATAAGGAGTACTGCTTTCGCTGTATGTCCGTATGTATGCTTAGATCTTTAAAACTACGCAACGGATTTTGATGCGGTTTTTTTTAATAGATAGAGTGATTCTTAAGGAAGGTTTGTATGTATAATACATGCATGTTGCATCCGTGCGAAGCCGGGGCGGGTCGCTAGTAAATCGCTAATAAATGCGCCCATGAAACACTAGACGTAAAGTAGGTACTATTGGCATCGGATGTGTTACGCAAAATCAAAATACTTCTTCGAGTTCGTATGCACTTTCGAAGTTCGCTTTTTGCACTGGTTTTCACCAGCTATTTTTTATTAACTAAAATTGCTAGGAAGAACCCCTCTGTGGTTCGAAACTAGTAAAGCTTATCTCAGTATATTCACGTGAGTAACCCGGGGTTTTTAGTTAATTTATTATGTCTAACGATAGTTATTATAAAAACACAGCTATTTTTTGTTTTAAACATTTTATTTTTTTGTAAATCTATTGTATTACCAAGACAGCACCATTTTACTTCGAGACGAAAACGAAATAGATGTCAAGGTGCAGAAAGAATAAATAATAAGGTATTAAGCGTACGTACCTGACTAATCTTCTTCAGATGCAGTACCTCATAGTCGTGATGCTGCAGCCAGCGGCCGGCGGCGGCCGAGTGCAGCGCCCAGCGCGCGTGCAGCAGCCTGCAGCCGCGCGCCGCGCCCTGCAACGCGGCGACCGTCCGCGCTCTCACGTCGGACACGTTCGTCCAACACGTCGTCTTACTGAGGTCGCACAGCTCTGCTCAAATATTCAAGCTAATTAAATACACCTGGACTTTTGAAATCATCTATCATTACATAAACATAACATAACATCACGCCTATTATCCCCGAAGAGATAGGCAAAGGTGCACACAGAAGTAACACCTACTTTTCACTATTTATATTATGAGTCCCATGTAATAGGAGGTGAGCTTATTGCCATATACCGGGCACAATTCCAGGCTCCGTGCTACTACTAAGATTTTTTTTAAAAACCCTATAATTTCTTTGCCTGACTCGGGAATCGAACCCGAGACCCCTTGCCCGGCAGTCGCTCTTGCTACCACTCGTCCAACGAGGCAGTCAAGTCAAGTCATCTATCATGAATAGCCCGTAAGTGTTAATTGTTGTATTTTTCTATTTTTTATGTCATAAGCCGGTAAACGAGCAGATCACCTGATGGTAATGAACAGGCGCTACCAATGGACACCCGAAACACCATAGGTGTTACAATTGTGTGGCCGGCCTTTTGGAGATTATATATTTGAGTATTCATGGGGTTTCGAGGATCGGGGAGATTAAGGAAGGGGGTAATTGGGCCTCACATGACGAAATACAACGCAAACATTGTTTCTCGTCAGTTTTCTGCTCGGCCGTGGTATCACTCCGGTCGAGCCGGCTTATTCGTGCCGAAGCATGGCTCTCCCACACATAGTATAGGCAAAAGAGAAAGTCTTCCTCCTATCCCGAATTCTCAAATGTCTACCCCAAAAGGCTGATAACGCACTTGTATCTCTTCTGGTCTGGTTGTCGATTGCTTTCTGTCAGGTGATCCACCAGCTCGTTTGCCACCTTAAAAACTGTCACGCAGGGTTACAGATAGCAGTTAACCGGCCGAAATTAATGACGTGTTATCGGCCCTGTTGGGCCCCATCTGTGGTGGTCTGATGGCTCTTTGAGGCGCGCGCTACACGCTGGGCGCCGTACGCTCGGGTCTGTTTCTGGTCGGACGGGGAGCCACCCATGCTCGCCGTCCGCAGGCCCGCGCTGACGGTGGCCGGAGATCGTTTTAATAAATAGATAGGGATGGTAACAAAAGTATATCACAATACAGGTCACACCGGACTGCTTTCACATGATTTCTTTTTTAAGGGGGAAAAATCATCAAATGACTGCTCCCGCCTAGGTAAGGTGGGAGGGAGTGTCAGATTCTTACTGACTAAAAACCACTCCGTTCCTTTTCCTGCATATCGAGCCGGAGCCCCGGTTACCCGTTAGGTTCTTCGCGACGCTGTCACATGATTAGAACGAACCTGTAACACCGGAGATGTTCGCGGGATGGTTGCTGCAACGTGCCACGCCGCACGAGCCGAGCAACACGTGGCTCGTTCGCTTGTTGACGTGGCTCTGTATGACGCCGCGGAGCTCTTGGATCGCCTTAGTTACAGCGTGACGTTCGGGGCGAGTCATGCCTGTAAGTACCTGGAATTTAGGATATATTATAAGATTAATTTTTGATTTTGATCTCGCATTACATAAGATTCATAATCATACCATAGTGGGTCTTACATTTAAGTGATACTCTGCATGCTTTTCGGGAATCAAACATAACAGAATGGGTAATTTCTTCTTTAAAATCAAAAAGCCCAGGGATACATGTAAGAAACGATTTTTTTCAGGGATAATTTGGTAAACGAGCATTTTTATCATCTGATGGTAAGGCATTGGCGCCGCCCATAGACACCTGGAAGACCAGGGGCGTTACAGGTGCGTTACTGGACTTTTGGGGATTATACGAATTTGAGGATCGTTGGGGATTCAGGGATTGGGGAAGGGGGGTAATTGGGTCTCCAGTAACCTCACATCGAAACATAACGCAAGCGTTGCTTTACGTCGGTTTTCTATGAGGCCGTGGTATCACTCCCGTCGAGCCTGCCTATTCTTGCCGAAGCATGGCTCTCCCACACTTAAAGTTAAAATGTTATGTTTTAGATGCGTTGATAGGCAAGTGAGTCAAATTAAAGAATAGAGGATGTAGGTATTTTCGATTATAAAATTAATAATTGAAAATTTCTGGTTTTATCTGGTTGGAAAAATACACATATCAAGTGGTGTTTTTATCATTTTTACAAGTAAGTTCGTATGTAAGTAACAATACAAGTGTACTATATATATATTTACTCACAATCTTAGGCTGCAGCCCAGTCTGTGTAGCCGTAACAACTCTGTTATGTTGCGTGTTGTAGGCGGCGAGTAACTTCTTCGCCATCCGCTCAGCTCGCGCGAGGTCGCGGCGCTCGCGCTGGGTCAGCTTGCTTTGGTTCAACTTGTTCTTTGATGGTGTTTCTGTAATATATTTTGTTGAAGATTCAAAATTAATGTTTCCATGAAGTATGAGAGTGAAACCATTGAAAATTGTAGAAAATTATCCCCTAAATTTGTTCATACAAAAGTAGTCTCTAAATATTGGAATTAAAGTCTACAATGTAGTTAGTGGTGACCGCTTGGGGATATACGAGTTAGATAGCATACTTTTAAGATATGTGGTATGTGATTTCTGACACCCTGGGACACCATATACTCATATGGAAAAGATCACTTTCATCATCATCACCAACACCTATAAATGCCCACTCCTGAGCAAAGGCCTCTTCTCACACGGAGAAGGTTTGAGCATTCATCACCACACTTGCTCATTGTGGGTTGGCTATTACAAACTTTATTAGAAATTATAAGTCCAGGTTTCCTCATGTTTTCCTTCATCGTTTGTCAGTGGTGTCTAAATAATCTTAGAAAGTACATATAACTCGGAAAAAGTCACATTGATACTTGCCGTTGGTAGGTTTCGAGGAAAAAACTTTAGCTTATATAAATTCCTAAACATTTTATTAAGAAAGAGTAATAAACAACCAATAACAATTCACCTGCTTCATCATCAGTACTGCCAATCTCCTCAGCCTCTTTATGAGTGAACAGTTTCCGTCGGGACTTGGGGGGCTCTCGAGTAGGGGGCGACACTGCGCCACGACGGGGTGCCGTGTTTACTCGGGACTCTAGGTCTAAGGGAAAATTAATTAAAATTAATGAAATAGGAATAAAGTTCATTTGTTATATCGATAGTAGATATGAAGTAAGTCTATGGTCCATAGATAATATTAGATATTAAGTATTCTATGATTTCAGTAAAATAATAAGTCTGTGGACCATGGACAAGACTTCAATTTTAATTTTTTAGCTTTTATTTTATTTTATTTTTATTTTTTAATTATGTTATGTGTGTTCTGCGCAGAAATGAATGGTTTTTCTTTCTTCTTTCTTGTTATGCAATAGACTTGTGAGGCAAAGGGGGATACGGATTACCTGATGGTAAGCAATTGGCGCCGTCCAATGAAAATTGCAATACTAAAGGAGTTTCAAGCGTGTAATCGACCTTTTAAAGCAGGGGAATGGGAAATACGTTTCTGGTAACCTCAATCAATTAATTTAAGTGTGGGAGAGCCATGCTTCAGCATGAATGGGCCGGCTCGACCGGAGTTATACCACGGCCGAGCCAAAACATCGTGAAACAACGCTTGTGTGTTTCGTCGTGTGAGTGTGGTTACCGGAGGCCTAATTACCCCCCCCCCCCCTAAAGAAGGGGGGACCTTCCTAATCCCTGAATCCCCAACAATCCTCAAATTCCTAATCCTAAAAGGCCGGTAACGCACTTGTAACGCCTCTGGATTTCCAGGTGTTCATGGGCGACGGTTGTTTGTAACATATAGTTACATTTCTTTTTTTATATGCAATTTGACATTATTGTTTTAATGTGACATTGTTTTTCATATGTTGTTCTAACTTGACATTTACTTTTTATTTAACAATTGTTAGTGCTAGGACCGTGCGAGACTTTGCCTCACCATTTCTTTTCTAATTACCCTTTTTCTGACAGTTTGAGTATTTGTGCGACCCACGCAAATGTTCTTTAGGTTGGTATTGTTCGTCGAATCAGTCAGCCTCACCTGTTAATTGAGCTGACTGTAAACCGACACATGCGTACTGCCTTCAGAACGGGTCCGCTCAAACTGTTGTGGTTCTTTCCTCAAAAGCCCACTACAGAAAGAACTGGCACGGTTCTCACACATGTTATACATATTGTCTGGACTTTAAAAGAGACAGACCTCTGAGTTTGTTTCGGCATTTCTTCTCAGAGTAGTCAGTTAGGAAATGTCGACCTCATCGTTCGCTTGATAAAATTGACGTGTAAAAGTGCTGCCTTGTTTAAAAATTTGCAGAAATAAATTCACTTGTTTCACTTGTTTCACTTGTTTCACTTGTTTCACTTGACGCCGATTGCTTACCATCAGGTGATTCGCCTGATCGTTTATCGGCTTATTCCATAAAAAAATTACAAGGCAAAACTTGCAAGCGTTGTTACGTGCTGGTGTACTGCGAGGCCGAAGCATAGCTTTGCTACATATCAATACATGAATATCACTATCACTACACAGCAAATAAAGACTTTGAGTTTGAGTTAGTATAAAACAAAGTAGCTATCCACCTTCTGTCTGTCCCTATGTATGCTTAGATCTTTAAAACTACGTATCGGATTTATATGCGATTTTTTTTTTAATAGATAGAGTGATTTTTAAGGAAGGTTTATATGTATAATACATGCGTATTGCACCCGGGTCGCTAGTCTATAAAATAATACAAACCGATAGTTTCCCTGGAGCTATCCATGGTAGTGTCAGTGTCGGATGATATCCTCAGTCGAGGACGGCCATCTTTATCCTCCTCCTTGCTGTCGTTCAGTAACGCTGCGAGAGTCACATTCTCCATTTCTGCTTTTTTCTGTAATAAATGAATAAATAAAATTATCTTGTTGATTGGTTGAATTCACTGTGAGGCAAGATTTCATTGTTAAGTCTAAATGAACTTTCGGAGATCGTATCTGCAGTCAAACCTCAATTTCAAAGTTATTAATGAGTAGCAGCTGAAGAACATCCAATATCCCAGCTAATTGAATGACATAACATCTCGCCTTTCCAAATTCAAAGCATTTATTTCAATTAAACCATAATTTCGTATGTTGTTATAATAACTATCGTGAGACATACTAAATTAACTAAAATCGCGGGTTACTCACGTGAATATACTGAGAAAAGCTCTACTAGTTTCGAACCACAGAGGGGTTCTTCCTCATGAGCAGCGTGCGCGGTCGCGGCGACGTCGCGCAGCTCATTGTATACTTTTCTCAGTATATTCACGTAAGTAACCCGCGATTTTAGTTAACATAATTTGGTATTTTTGAAACATCAACAAATACAAAAAAAAAAATCCCTTTCCACTAATGCGGAGCGGAGATTTCATGCAATGCTATCCTTAATATTATAAATCGGAAAGTGAGTTTGTTTTTGTTTGTTCTGCTTTCACGCCGTAACTACTAAACCGATTGCTTTGATTTTTTGCAGACGTAAAGTTAGAAGTCTGGATTAAATATTAGGGTACTTTTTATCCTGGAAAAATTGATATTTCCGAAGGAAAACAAAAGTATTGGTATAGATGGCGCTGTGTGTAAAGGTATATGTCACATAGGCTACTTTTTATCCTTTTGTGACGCGGGCGGAGCCGCGGATAAAAGCTAGTTGGTAAATATTTCTTCGTTTCTCTGCTCCGTTGCCCCTCTCCGCGTCAATGGATAGGCAGCCTAATAGATGATGATAACTTACCAGAAGTTGTCTCAAAGTCCTCGGGGATGGTAGATCAGACTGTCGTGACGCAGCCGGGAACGTTCTCTCGTTGAGCTTCTCGTTGGAGGCGGCGCAGGCCTCCACCCACAGCGGGGACACCAACTTGCAGGCCAGCGCGCGGGCCTTGGCGCGGGTGGCGCGACAACCGCCTGGACATAGATGCAATATTATAATATCAATCACATCTTCTATTTCATAGGGGGAAAGGCATTTGTGCACAGACATATTCTAGGTAGGTATTAATCTTTTTATTTATTTATGGCATAAGCCGGTAAACGAGCAGACGGATCACCTGATGGTAAGCAATCGGCGTCGCCCAGGGACACCTGGAACACCAGAGGCGTTACAAGTGTGTTACCGGCCTTTTGGGGATTAGGAGTTTGAGGATTATTGGGGATTCAGGTATTGGGGAGATTGGGGATGTTTATGTGCCTTTTATTCTGGTACTTTTGGAGTAAAACAATAACAAATACTCATTGCCATACACCTGATTATTTAGAATATTTACCTGAGTTTAAACAGAAATGCTTCGGAGTTTGGCAAAATCATTTTACAGTGAAATCAAAAGAAAAAGGCATATGGTACAAGACCATTCAAGGTAACCTTCCTCAGATTCCCTGGTTTGAGAATAGTAAGGTAGGCAGAAATTATATTAAGTTATTGTTACGATTACGTTCCGGACACTATCCATCAGCGAAATTTGGGTTTCTAATAAAAAAATAACCTCGCCCAATTGTACGACGTGCAATGTTATAGAAGACGTTCAACATCTACTGATGGATTGCGTCAGGAATCAAAGTCAACGGAACGATCTGGTCAATGAATTCCAGCTAAATATACAAGAGGTAGGGTTGATACAATCTATTTTACCTCAGCCAAATTCTGAATTAGCAAAACGATTGTGTCAGTTGATGTATTTCGTTGACTAAGACTAAGTTAATTAGGAACTTTCATGTTTAATTTTAAGGTTTTGTTTATATAATGGTTGTAGGTACGATGGGGTTGGCGTATCCTCATGGATAAAAACCCTGTATTAATTACATGTAGAATAAAAAAAAAAAAAAATTATACTCATTGCCACCCTATTCCACAAAAACGTGCAATCGTGCTCACAAACTTTTGCAGTAGTCGGTAGGATAGTAAAATCAGGACATACAATATGATCAATATAACCACTTTAAAATTGACTAATATTACAATTAGGTAACATAACATTACGCCTTTTATCCCCGAAGGAGTAGGCATTACGGCACTTAATGCCACTATACAAAGTAACATCCGCTATTCACTATTATGTTATGAGTCCCATGTAACAGGGGGTGAGCCTATTGCCATATACTGGGTACAATTTAAGATGCCGTGCTACTACTGAGATTTTTTTTAAACCCAGTAATACTTTGCCCGACCCGGAAAACGAACCCGAAACTCTCGGTAGTCGCACTTGTAAAAGCACAAATTTTACTCACTGTCAGTCCAGACTAAATGTGTAACAAGAGGATTCCATTCCACCACAACGGTAGCTCCGAGGGCCGCCAGTGCGCAGCGCAATGGCAGCGCCTTGCTCTCGGCTCCTACATCCACCATGGCAACCACACCCTTCAGGGCATCACATGATGCCTGCAGTGATCTTGGATTTCCCTGTAAATAGGTAAACATAATGTTAATATTATTATTCCTAAGATTGCCTTGTTGGCAGAGTGGCTGCAAGTGCGACTGCCAGGCAAGGGGTGGTGTTAGGTTCAATTTCCAGGTCGGGCAAAGTACAGCTGGGTTTTAAAAAAAATTGTCAGTAGTTCAGTCAGTTCCCTTCGCTCTGTACCATGACCGGAACCAGAGTCGGACGCGAGAGGTCGCCGTCACTGGACCTCTTTAGGGGTAAATCTTCACATTGAATGTGATACAATTAAACTAAACTTACGACTAAGGAAATAAATTATGCAAACCTTGCAGTAAATTAAACAGGTTCTATAATTTCAGTACTAATTTTAAATCTTACCTTTTTCTGACTAGATTTAACTGGTTGTTTCTTTCTGCTGGAGACACCAGGTGTGTGACGCGTGTTACTTGGCTTCTTCTGTAAAGCACTGTCAGCCTGTCTTGAAGTAGTTGCAGTGTCTACTTCTTTCAATGCTGACCATTCTTCTCTGAGCCTGATCCTTTCGGCAACTGCAGAGCGGCGCTGGAATTGAAAATTATACATTTACGAATGTGTCAGTATATTCATTGATTTCTAGGTTTGATTTTCATGCAGTGTAGTTGTTGACCGGATATTACTTCGTTTACATACACATATTCCACATTCCCAGTAAGAATTTACCACTTGGTAGCATAAAATATGGTATTTTTTGATTAATTAGCAGTGACACGAATTGTGTCTTTTATTTTGGCGCCTTCAGAATAAAAACTATTTGAACATAAAGGAGTACTTACCAGGCCAGCTGCACCTCTATTATTTTCTTTGTTCATTTTTGTTTTGATATATATTTGTTGTGAAAATAAACAATCAGTCAATAAACACTTTTCATAGCCGAATTGAAGAAAAATCAATTACTGTCACTTATAATACGTCTTGATTTATGTATTTTTACTCGATAAACATGTAGGTTTAAAAAACTGAGTGTAAATGATTATCCATAAAAAATGTTTTTACGTATGTACAAATTAGTACAAAACTGTAGTAAAAGGCAAGCAAGTCGCAACAAGTTTATTTCTAAAATTGAAAATGTGTCAAATGTAGCTGTCATAAACGTCATTAGATTCAAGTTTTTTTCGTTACATCTATGTTTCTACTAAGTTTTAAGTACGTGTCCTTTAAGTAACTATGTGATTATATAATTTTAAATAAAACAATACAAAACATGTACAAGTACGATAGGGAAGTAAAACTACAAGTATGTTTTGTTTTTATTAATAAATAATAATTTATAAGCATTTACAACATATACTGTACATACTTGTAATTAAAATAAGTGCATGCTATTATTTTATTTGACTACGACTACGATGCAGTTTGCACTTCAAAAAGACTTTTTAAAGTAAATCCTTCTCTCAGTGGTTCTATAGCTAGTCCTAAGTATGAACTATAAACTGGTGGGCTTTCAGATTCTTCTTTATTCTGGGCAAGTTGCGATGCTAAGTACAAATTAGGTCCCATTTCACCACGGGGCTCTCCGATCTCTTCCAACTCTTCTATATCAGCGTCTGAGGGCCTTGTATTCTGCAAAGATGTAATGCAATAATTATGAGCCAATAGACAGGTACATTAGATGAAGCATAAAAAAACCTTTAGGTAGGCGTAGTAATTAACTTTTAAGCTCACATACCTCATTATTCCAATTGAGTTCAACACCAAATATGGGTTTCTCCGTGTAAGCTTGGTGCAGAGCCTGTAGTTCTGTGAGTAGAGGCCTCAATCTTTCACGAGGATCAGCTCTAAAACCCAATATGTAGCCTCCAGACGTTTTACGAACTTGAAACACAAGCGCTTCTCCAAACTTTGAGTCTTTTACATTTACCTGAAAATGTGAATGATAGTTAGATATGAATGTTTTTTTTTATTGAGTAGGAGGCGAACGAGCAGACGGATCACCTAATGGTAAGCGATCAGTGCCACCCACGGACACCTGCAACACCAGAAGAGCCACAGTACGTTGCCGGCCTTTTAAAAAGGAATACGCTCTTTTTTTGAAGGTTTGAAGGTCGTATCGGTATCGTTTGAGTTTTAAACAAAAATCTATTCGAGTTACTCACGCTTTCAATCGTAATGTAGGGCATAGATATGTTGAAGGCGTCGTTGATGTCTGCAAACCAGACCACCCTGACGTTAGTCACTATCAGGGTACCCAGATTACCTGAGTCACTCGATAGGTTCCAGATACTATGCTCCAGTAGTGCTATCTGGAAAATGGAACAATACGCACTTATCTTTGATTATTTCTGATTAATTAATTATTATACTTTTTCTTTGACAATTTGCGTATTTACTTTGCATAAAAATGCAACAAGTAATGCACTGTTCTTGACGGTTGCAATATATACAAACAGTAATTTCAATTTTACTTTGAATAAGTCCTTCTCTGTAAGTCTGACCACAGAAGAGTGGTAGATTAAACCTGGGGCTTACTCTTGAATCGAATTCCGATCAATCGACATAAGTTTTGTGAAATTTCGTACTCATAGATAAGTTGCAATATTAGCGCCCATTGCATCCGCATTGCGTGGATATTTAATGAACTAAATGGCATTGAGTTTGGCTTCATATTCCGTATTCTGAACGCTATTTTAACAGCTACGATAGGGGTTGTATAGTTTTGACATTAAATAATTTTTGAGATTTTATTGGATCGAAATTGCATTGATATTGACATTGGTTTTGAGAGTAAGCACTCTGGACATCTTACTTTTTCTAGCGGTAGCATCCGTAACTGCTTGTTGTGTATTATAGCAGCTCTCAGCTTAAGGTCACGATACAACCTGGAGCCTGTATAAGCTCTGTAAAAAAAAAATAGATAGTAGGTACGCAATATATTAGTCGAATTGTGTTAAAAGTGAAAGAAAAGAGAATATAGGTAATGTAATGCGCATCTGATAAGAAGATACTATAGAACCCCCAACTGGGGCAACCTCCACACTAGGATTTTCTCCTGTGTCATGGGTGCGTTTACAAACATACAAGTTCACATACACAATACATGGCACCTAGACCTGGAACAACAATCTGTGGATCACACAAATAGTTGTTCCGTGCGGGAATCAAACCCGCGACCCATTGTGCGCCAGCCAGTTGTCAGGAAACTTCAATTTTGAATCAATAAAGCAGCTTCACTGTGGTGGGGCAGGCCTATCCTGCTTACCTGAATTATTCCAAGGTTTCGCAGAAAACCTATGCCAAACACCACTTTCATTATTTTCCATCATTTGTGTTCTAGAGAGTGGGGCTAGTTGCTTACCATCAGGTGATCCGTCTGTTCACCAAAAAGGGCAGATAGAAGACGAATATTTTTGAACTTACTTATGCACTCCAGCCACTGAAGTATAATGTCGAACACAGTTTGGAGATAAATTGGTGAAGATGAATTCATATTTGTTGGCTTTGTAAGCTGCTAGTACGTTAAGGGCCTGGGTAGTGCCCCGGAGCCCTGAGTTCACGACCTTCGTGTTTGTAGTTAGGATGCAGTTCAGGCCTATAGCTGCAATGATAAAAATGTGATTTTAACTTAGACTTCACTTGCTTTTGTGTATGGTATTTTTTGAATCTTTATTTTATAAGTAGGGCTTTTTTCCTAAGAGAAGAACGTCAGCCCCATTATACGATACAAAATTCAGTACCTACATACTACAATGAAGAAGCTAAACCGTTTGCAGGTTTGACTTGCTCTTAAACAAAAGACGTGTAAGTAAGTGTTTTTTTTTATCGGATAAGCCGGTAAACGAACTGACGTATCACCTGATGGTAAGCAATCGGCGTCGCCCATGGACACCTGGAACACCAGAGGCGTTACAAGTGCGTTACCGGCCTTTTGAGGATTGTGAGAGATTCGGGGATTGGGGAGACTGAGGAGGGGAGGTAATTGGGCCTCCGGTAACCTCACTCATCCCACGAAACACATCTCATTGTCATCATTGTTGTTACCAACGGCCATAATCAATGCCCATCACATATAACAAACCGTATTACTAATATATTTATGCCAAGGCGTAGCTAGAATAAAGTAGGTACGCTACTAATACTAACACAAATTGATCCTAGGTGACGCCAGTGAATGCCAGATAATCCTCAGGTTGGTAACTACCATACGTCCTTTAGTACCGCTGTTGCCCTTCGTGTCTTCGATGGGTTCGATCCTATCAAATATCTTCTCACCAGGGCGAAGCTTTAGGTATCTGGAACATAAAACCAAGGTAATTGTACTCTATACTTTATAAGAATAATGAAGTACACGAAAATACTTTATTTCTGTAAACTTCATTTCTATTAAAGTCGTAAGTATTTACGGTGAACTTATAGATTCGATATCGATATTTATCGATTTATGTTGAATCGATTTCGCTACTCGCCAGCGCCACTTAGACGATTTCTAGTAAAGAAACAATTGTTTAGTATTTCAATGCAATTGTTTAGTAAAGATACTAATTTAATACAAACTGCAAAAAGCAATATAAAATATATTTTTAAATATAATTACTAAATAAGAATAAATTGTACTATATTTTTGTATTGTGTACTTTTTTTCTTACCTATAATCGTCAATGTACTTTAAATACAAAAAAAGGTGGCAACCCTAGTTATGAGACCCATGTAACAGGGGGTGAGCTTATTGCCATATACCGGGCACAATTCCAGACTCCGTGCGACTACTGAGATATTTTTATAAAACCCAGCAAATTTCTGCCCGACCCGGAATTCGAACCCAACCCAGGCAGTCGCACTTGCAACCAGTCGGCCAACGAGCTAGTACAACTAGCTATTATTTAGGTATTTATTAGGTATTACTACTGTCGGTAGTTTCTATGAAAGATGTGAATCCTTCTTATTGAATTAGTTATAGCTGGTTAGTAGTTATATAGATGAGGCTCATGTACTAGTAGATAGTTATTGTACAGACTACATAATGCAAGTATTATGAGCAATAATCAAAGATTCCATGCCAACAAACGTTAAACCAAAATGAAAGGAATGGCAATTCGTGGAGACTACAAAAATTCTCTCCAGTTAGCTATCAATACTTAATAAAATCTTCTCACTAAAATAACCAAATACATACAAATATTATCAAAAGACCATTTGGTTTCGTTATAACATCGCATGAGTAATTCTAATCAGTTTAATTTTTAGAGAAAAGAAGAAGAAAAAATCACATTTCTCATATCAAAACAGAGCTCAAGGAAACTCAGTGCCGAGGGAATAAAGAGCAGTTCTCCCTTAAATCTGAATAAAAATGTGAAGGTTATAAATAACGGCATTATGAAGAAAAGTCCGTCTCGCATAAACTTTTAAAACATGTTAATTTAATTTTCATATCTTGTAGAGAGCGCCTTACGCAGTTAATAGCTGGGACACTTGATACTGGCTCGTTTTAGCGACAATATCATAAGCCATTTACATAAGGAGGAAAAACAGACATAATGCCACTTAGGTATAAGCAGAAATAAGTGTCATATTGTTTTCAAAAAGTGTATAGTCTCTTAGACTAATTCAGTTCAATTGGGTAGTTTCCAGGGTATCAAAGTTAAAAATCTAATTAGTCCGTCAGTTAGACAATGAAAAAATATTAGACACGTATTTTTTTATTTTCTCGTACTAAGTTGCAATACTTAGATAAAATGGAAAGAAAATATGAAAGAATGAAAGTTTAGGAGTGAGAGGTTGTTACGTCATAACGTGCTATAAAATGTGGCACGCTGTGACGTCACACGATAATTTAAATCAATATATCGTAGAAAGTATATAATTTTGTGAGAAAAGAAAAAATACGTGTTTAAAGTTTTAAATTATTGTACCAGACGGACATTAAAATAAAATTTAGGAAACTACCCTATTTTAGTTAGGAAAGAGACTTTTACAGTATCAGACAGTATGCTTAATGAATTCCATCTTTTCTCCCTTCCATAGCCATATGACAGCACCAGTCCTGCTCTTTCCGTGGGTGACGTATGAGCCGAGGGGACCTGACAGAGACCATGCAGCAACGCTCTCAGATAGGTACACTATGAGTACACCTGAACTTGAACCTGACCTTTTAAACTTGTATTTCCAACCTACTTGCCAAGTAAAGAAGGTCTATAGTCCAATAAT